TGCATGTTCATTCCATCTTTCATAACAATAAAAAATCACAATAAACGATATTAGGATGTTAAAACCCATGTGGGATGGATAGTAAGTCTGAGCTACTAAGACACATATTTTTACACCTAACATAGTAAGTTCAACTGCTTATTGTGTTAGGTCTCCTAGCATATAAAAGAACACATTTTTTATATCACCCATAACTATGCCAGAATAACCATCTTTTAGGCCCGTCATAGAATGTGTTGCATGCAATATAGTGTTTGTGTTATAGGGAATATTTTCACTATCTGTTTCTAAGAAGATCCACACCAAAGATAACTACATTAAACAATCTCTTGGGATTTGAACTAAAGCTAGTTTCTCTACCAACTACCTTGACTCAAAACATGATTCAACTCTGGTTTTCTTTTTTTTATTGTCTTGCCTAAAATATAATGTGTCCATTTACTATGATTTGAAATAAAATAAAAAAAGATATTGTAACCTAGGAAGATAAGTACTACTAGTTATCAAGGATGTTGTATGAAGAAGATAAGAGCAATTCATGTTGCATGAATCACATTCAATGATTTTCAATGATTCAAGGCTTGATAGATTGTAGAAAAAGAAAGAGGAAGATATTCAAAATGAGTTTTCAAAGCTACTCAATAGCTAAATAAAAAAGATTTATAATAATTATTTTCATCTAGATATTAATCATTTTTAGACACTTTTTAAAGAAAAAGATATAAAGACAAAGTCATTATTTGCAAGTATTGAAATCTTTTCCAAATATTTTTATGCCTAAAAGCTTTTATAAGAACATAATTTGTGTTCAACCTTTAATAAAATAGTATAGGGAATGCTTAACATTGTAAACATTAAAAGACATATACCCTTCTTTAGTGAGTGAAACCTATGAATTGTTGATCATAAAAGTATTTTCTCTATCATAAGCTAGGAGTGACTTCTTGTTTAAAGAATGCTCAAGTTAAGCAAGGAGTGATTTTTTGTTAAAATAATACTTAGCCAAAATTGTAGCACACACCCGATTATTTCTGACGAGCACGGGGGGAGGAAAAAGCGGTGGGGGAAAAGAAGGGAAAAGGGGGGAGGTTGGGAAGGGGGGGGGGAGGGGGGGTTTGTTGGGAAAGTGGTAAAAAGAAAAATGAAATGAAGAAAATGTAGATGAAGATGAATTGACATAATTACTGTTGGAAATCTAAGTGTGAGTCTAAGTCCCACGTTGAATAGAAACGAGAAAGTGAAGCACCATATAAAGGTGAAGACCTATTAATCCATTTTCTTAAGATTTTGAATAGAGAATGATGTCAATCCCTTATGTCGTTTGACTTAAATCTTATTGATATTGCGTCTTCTCAATGAACTCCTTCCTTTATAAACTTAACAAGTGGTATCAAAACTAACTTAGACTCAAATATGTACAATAGTCCAAATAAATTGCCAAGAATAAAGGAGAAACTAGTAAACAAAATCTATGAAAACCATTATCCAAATTAAAACCATCATCATTAAATTTTCGATTTCCTCTGTTCAAGGCATTTTCACAATGTTTGAATTGTAACCACAATTTATCACCTTCATTTTATATTTAAACGACCTATTTATATTGTTTTTTTATATAACAGTTAAACTAAAATAAAGATAATATTATAAATTTAATATCTACTGTAAAATGGCCTGTATAGCGTCAGTTGTAATTTAAAATGTTTATTTCCGTCTATACTTTTATACATTTGTTTAATGTTCCGTATATTATTTATACGAAAACATAATGACGAGAGTTTTTCTTATTTATTCATTTTTGTTACAAATATGGTGTGAAATTTTACGAAAAAATCTTTACTTCTTTTTTGAATCTTTATACAAAAATCTACATATTAAACATTTTACAAAATACGATTTCTTTTGGTAATGAGTTGAATTACAAAGCTCAAATCACAAACCTAGTAATGTCAAAAGCTTCGAAGTAAAACAAAAGCATTCACTAAAAAAATAAATTATTTAAATTTAAATATTTTCTGCTACCGCGCCTAAATAATAGCTAGATGAAACGAATTCAACCCGAATAAGTTATTTTTTCTGGAAAAAGATAATTTCTATCACATTGAATCGATCTTTTGTCACACATAAATGCACATTATCAGTATTATTATTTCAGTAGCTAACATAACACATGGTATATATATTTTATACACATATATATATAAAGATTTGTATGAAATAAAAATGAAAAAATGAAAGAACTAGTAGCTCTACCCATCAAATATCTTCTTTCACGTTTGTACAAGGAATATAAGTTGATGAACCAGGCTTCTTCTGTTTTGAGCTACGTTGATGTTTGTGCAAATTACTGGAGCATGGCAACACAGGTCTTTCAATAGCACAAAGCTTATGCTTCAAACGCCATGGGAACAGAAATTCAAACCCACAACCCTTTGGAGAAGAAGCATACGAATGCCTCATATAACACTCTGGATAACTTCCACAAGTATCACAATCTTTGTCTTCAAAGTTCCTAGAAAAATGTAAAGCAGATGATGCAGCCAAAGCAGTTGCATCAGGAAGAAAGCGATTGATCATGTAGGTTGGAGATTGGTATCCATTACACTCTGCAAGCTTTAACCTCAACCCTTCATTTTTTTCATTATGAACATTCTCTGATTTCTTTTGCACATAATCTAATGCCTCTGATAGAGAGAAAACATCCATAGCATCTGAGAAAATATCATCCCTGTTGTCATTTCCTACACAACTACCATCTCCTTGATCATGAAATGCATCGTTAGCATCATCAACATCAGTTTCAGATGCTTTTCTTGAAAGAAGCCAATGACTAGGGGGTAGTCTTAGGCGTGGCGTGCCACCATCTTGAGTGCTGCAATTCCTCTCGGTCACTTTTGGCTTACCTGGTGCTTTCTCCCATGAAAATGGAACTCTTTCACTTGTTTTTTGGATTGCACATACTGAATATGATGAGCAAGATGAATCTCCAACAACTGAACAACCAAGACGCCTTGTTGACAAAAGGGGTGCGTTTAAGTCTAACTTTCTTGGACGTTTTCTATCCATTGTCTCCATACAAAAGGCTTCAAGAACTAGATGGATTATGTGAGATAATTGTGTGATAGAAGGTTGAAAAAATTGGTGTTAGAGAGGATATCACATTATAGTTGGTTGGGTGGAATAAATAGAAGTAGTTGGAAAAATGGGCATCTCGTGAAAACCATAAAAAACTAAGATCTTTGCTTCACAGGGGCATTGAAAAGTTCTCCTTCCACGTGGGAAGATTTCACAGAAACATTGAACCAGAATTCACAGGAATCAATTTCAGACCATTGTAACGTTGCATGCTGCCCCTCCTACATAAGAATATCTCCTTACTATTCAATAAAGCGTTACACTTTACACCTAAAATGAGAAACCAATATTCATTGAGAGCACAAAAGCCACATAAAGTTGAAGTGCCAGCTACTTGGATTGGAGGGTTTGGTTCTGTGTAGAAAAGTGTGTTACCTAGCACAGGAAGTTAGGTTGGTGTTAAGAGAAAGATATGAGAACTTCAGCTCAAGGAATGAGGGAATTTGCAGGTGAGATTGAAAGCTTAGGAAGATTGAGATACAAGAGTATGGTCACCCTTCAAGATGGCTCAAGCACAAGAATGATCTATTCCAAATTTATCACTACTTTCCAAGCCTTGATTGTATCCTTTCAACAAATACTTGCTTTGGATTGAGACCAGAGATTCAAAATTCTCAAATAGCTGCAGGGCTGTTGTATCTTCATGAAGTGTGGGAGACGAGAGCTGATCCGTAGAGATGTGAAATCTAGCAATATTCTTGTTGATAAGGACTTCAATGCTCGTTTGAGTGACTTTGGACTAGCAAGTTTTTATAGCATGATCAAGTTCTAATGAGGAAAGGGAAAAATTGGTGAAAAATTAGGCCACAATAGACATACGAAATGAATAAGGCATAATAGAAAGAGTAACAGTAGATGACACAAATCAACAGTGAGCTATACAGGACAAGTTTGTAGTGTTTTCTCGTAATCCTTATCTGGTCATCTTTTATTTGTATGTATATTTTACTGTTATTGAATAAAAAATAACAGAAAGTGGATTCAAAAATTTCTTCTTTACCTTTCTTTCTTTAAGTCTGTTTCCTCTTATGTTATTAGAGCTTTCCTTGAGCTCTGTCCCTTTTTATTCATCATGTCGGACACAACTCCAATACTTAGGAAGTCTAGAAATTATTCTATGAGATCCGAACCTCAGTTCATTCATACCTTTTTACATTCATCCTAGTGAAGCACCTAGGTATGTTTTTATCACGCCTGTAGTGGAAGCAATATTCATGGTCTTGTTCATTTCAAATGGTTTTGATTTCTAAAAACAAAATGGGTTTTATGCTGGGTTCCATATCCATTCCTTCTCCTTCAAAATCTTTGTTTTCTATTTGAGAATGTTGTAATGTGGACTAATATCTTTGAGAAGTTTTTCTCAAGGTGATTTGCTTTGTACTGCAATGCTAAAAAAACTTTATGGCCTTCACTAAGGTCCAACATCTGTCTCTAACTTTTACACTGCCCTCANGTGATTTGCTTTGTACTGCAATGCTAAAAAAACTTTATGGCCTTCACTAAGGTCCAACATCTGTCTCTAACTTTTACACTGCCCTCAGTATCCTCAAATATCTTTAGTCACCTACTTTAAAAATTCACTAAACAGCACACGTGACTAACACGATAATCAACTTCTTTATGTTATAATGAGTATCGATCTCTCCAAATATTACAAGTTTAATCTTTTCTAAGAAATACAAGTATATTCAAATTACAACGAGTTTAACCTTTTTAGTATTCTTTCTCAATCTTCCCATAAAACAGAAAACTCACAGTTAAAACCAACAAAATAATATCTCGAAGAAAGTTCTTGATATTTCATTTAGAATATATTAAGTCTTGTGACACTTTATTGAAAATCTCAGGTCAATTAGAAATAAAATTAATTCAGTATATATAAATATGTGTAAATCTTACTTATAAATCAATTTTGTGATATTGAACTACACTTAAAATTTATTTCTAACAACTACTTGTTAATAAATATTTAAATTTTATAACTTAAATGTACAACATCAATCTTAGCGTGGGTTTAGTTGACACTTGTAGTGTCAGCTATTTGGAACAAATCCAAACGTCGTGAGGAGGGTTTATTTATTTGACTGACACAACCCGAATGCTAATCATAGCTAGCGTCCAAGTTTTGTCTTTTGTGTTGATTTTTTGACCGACTCTTAAGTCTATAATTTCTTATAGTGATTGCTGATACTAGTAAAAAGTGACGAAAATTTTATGAACAAGTTATTATTATTAATTACAAATGTAAAAATTAAGATGGAATGTCAATTCATCCTAATAACATCAAATTTTATTATCTCCTCTCATTCATTTTCTCTTTACTATGAGATTATAAATCGTTTTAGTTAAATTATATGAAATGTTCATTGTATTTTTGAAAATTAGATATTTATTTCATTTTTTCTTTTTTGTTTATTAGTTCTAATTTCAATATTATTTTCAGGAATAGATCACTTATAGATTGAACTTGAATACTGACTGGAAGATGAGGAAATGGCGAGGAGGGAATCTAGATCTGGTTATTCCGACAAACAACAACGAATCACATACTTCATCAACTTCCCAATCAATTTTGGGGAATATGATATGTGGAAGACAAAGTGTGCAGATACATGACAATCTACTAATTACAAACAAATTACTCTGTTTCATAATTTTTTTCAAACACTAAAAACAAAACTACATGAATCATACATCTTGGAATCGTATTTTGTCTTATCAACTTTTTATGTCTTTAACCGTATAAAATACTTTTAGGACTTCTTTGCAAAATGGAAAAATTGGAATCCAATAACTTTATGTCAATTTAGTTCCTTATCATGGTTAGGTACATCATCGTAGCTTTAACCCACTAGTGGGGAACAAAAAGAAGAGTCTTTAGAAAATCATCCAATGAAGAGCCTTGTCTTTTAGAAAAGATAAAATATTCAGCACCACTACGTTGAGCTAAGAGTTAAACTGAAGAGTGTTTCTCCTCGTAAAAGTCCACCTTATCAAGGACCAACCCAACTTTTGCGCCTAGTTCATTTCCTTTGCGTTTCTACTCTGATCATCATTTGTTCGTTCCTGAGATCATGGCATTAGCCGTGGTAGGTGGTGCTCTTCTCTCTGCTTTCCTCGACGTTCTTTTTGACAGGCTAGCTTCCCCTGAGCTTGTCAGCCTGATCCGTGGAAAGAAGCATGACAAGTTGCTTCAAAAGGTGGAGAACCAGCTGATAGTCCTTAGAGTTGTGCTTGCTGATGCTGAGAATCGACAAATCACAGACTCCAATGTCAAAAAATGGCTCGATGTTCTCAGAGATATTGTNTTTTCTCAAGGTGATTTGCTTTGTACTGCAATGCTAAAAAAACTTTATGGCCTTCACTAAGGTCCAACATCTGTCTCTAACTTTTACACTGCCCTCAAGTATCCTCAAAAATCTTAAATCACCTACTTTAATAATTCACTAAACAACACACGTGACTAATACGATAATGAGTATCAATCTCTCCAAATATTACAAGTTTAACCTTTTCTAAGAAACACAAGAAGTATATTCAAATTACAACGAGTTTAACCTTTTTAGGTATTCTTTCTCAATCTTCCCATAAAACAGAAAACTCAGTTACAACCAACAAAATAATATCTCGAAAGTTCAGTCATGCTCACAAGATGATCGTTGATATTTATTCAATTTAACATATTCTTAATGTCTTCTTCACTTTTCATATGAAAGTTCTTGATATTTCATTTAGAGTATATTAGTTAGAGTATATTAGTTCTTGTGACACTACTTGTTAATAAATATTTAAATTTTATAACTTAAATGAACAACATCAATCTTAGCGTGGGTTTAGTTGACACTTGTGTCAGCTATTTGGAACCAATCCAAACGTCGTGACGGAGAGTCTATTTATTTGACTGACACAAACCCGAATGGTAATCATAGCTAGCGTCTAATTTTTGCCTTTTGTGTTGATTTTTTGACCAACTCTTAGTCTATAATTATAATTTCTTACAGTGATTGCTAATATGATACTAGTAAAGTGACGAAAATTTTATGAACAAGTTATTATTATTAATTACAAATGTAAAAATTAAGATGGAACGTCAATTCATCGTAATAACATCAAATTTTATTATCTCCTCTCATTCATTTTCTCTCTTTACTATGAGATTATAAATCGTTTAGTTAAATTATATGAAATGTTCATTGTATTTTTGAAAATTATACATTTATTTCATTTTTTCTTTTTTGTTTATTAGTTATAATTTCAATATTATTTTCATGAATTGATCACTTATAGATTGGACTTGAGTACTGACTGGAAGATGAGAAAATGGCGAGGAGGGAATCTAGATCTGGTTATTCCGACAAACAACAACGAATCACATACTTCACCAACTTCCCAATCAACTTTGGGGAATATGATATGTGGAAGAGACAAGTGTGCAGATACATGACAATCTACTAATTACAAACAATTTACTCTGTTTCATAATTTTTTTCAAACACTAAAAACAAAATTACATGAATCTTACACTGGGAAATCTCTTTCAGTTCTCAACGAACCAACGGAACTCTTATGTATCTACCTCTATACCATAATGTTCATTAATGAATTGAGATGTGAATTCAACTTTGGTCAAGACCATTGTGTTTCTGAATATCAGACAGCACATTGTTTACTTTGGTATACCGTGAAAGGTAAGGTGCAGAGATAATACAGCAGTGAACAATAATTGAAGTAATATCTTGTTATTCATTCTACATCAAAATATCAAATTATAAGCACGAAGCGCACCTCATTCTTTCACGCTCATTCTTATTGTTTAAACAGTCTCATTGTAACATATGATCGTATTTTGTATTATCAACCTTTCATGTTTTAACAGTATAAAATGTTAAAAAAATAATTTACCCCTTCAATTATCTGGGATACTTTTCATTAAACTTTCATAACTTTTAAATAAATGCAAATAGATCTTCCACTAATTATAAATAATAAAAATTGACAATAAAATATTAATTAACTTAAAATAAAATAATACTAAAAAAATAAAAATTATTTATATTCATTTTATCTCTACGTTAAAATCAAACAAAATATTACTAAATTCAAATCTAATAAAATAAGATTTGAACGAATATCTGAAATTTAATCCTATCATAAGATACTTTGCAAAATTGAAAAGTTAGAATGCAGTAACTTTATGTCAATTTAGTTCCTTGTCATTGTTAGGTACATCATCGTAGCTTTAACCCACTAATGGGGAACAAAAAGAAGAGTTTTTAGAAAAGCATCCAATGAAGAACCTTGTCTTTAGAAAATATAAAGTATTCACCCCCACTACGTTCAGCTAAAAGTTAAAGTGAAGACGTTGAGGCCTGCCAAATCTCCTCGTAAAAGTCCACCTTATCAAGAACCAACCCAACTTTTGGACCTAGTTCATTTCCTTTGCGTTTCTTCTCTGATCATCAGTTGTTCGTTCCTGGGATCATGGCATTAGCCGTGGTAGGTGGTGCTCTTCTCTCTGCTTTCTTTGACGTTCTTTTTGACAGGCTAGCTTCCCCTGAGCTTCTCAGCCTGATCCGTGGAAAGAAGCCTGACAAGTTGCTTCAAAAGGTGGAGAACCACCTGATAGTCCTTAGAGTTGTGCTTGCTGATGCTGAGAATCGACAAATCACAGACTCCAATGTCAAAAAATGGCTCGATGTTCTCAGAGATATTGTCTATGAGGTTGATGACTTACTTGACGAAGTTTCTACCAAAGCTGCTACTCAAAAGGAGGTAAGCAATTCCTTTTCTCACATTTTCAATAGGAAAAGGATTGTTAGTATTAATAAATTGGAAGACATAGCTGAAAGATTAGATGACATTTTAAAACAAAAGGAGAGTCTTAATTTGAAGGAGATTCCAGTGGAAAGCAACCAGCCATGGAAAGATCAGCCTACATCTTTGGAAGACAGATATGGTATGTACGGCAGGGATAAAGACAAGGAGGCCATAATGAAGATGGTATTGGAGGATAACACTGATGGTGAAGAAGTGTCCGTGATCCCTATTGTAGGCATGGGTGGGGTTGGTAAAACCACTTTGGCCCGATCTGTGTACAACGATGGAAAATTGAAGCAGATATTTGATTTAAAGACATGGGTTTGTGTTTCTGATATATTTGATACTGTGAAGGTCACAAAAACTATGGTAGAGGAAATTATCAAGATGCCTTGTAATTTGTATGATCTAAATCTACTTCAACTTGAATTGATGGACAAGCTGAAAGGTAAAAGATTCTTCATTGTTTTGGATGATGTTTGGATTCAGGACTTTGATAGTTGGAATAGTCTTACAAAACCATTTTTAAGTGGGATTAGGGGAAGTAAAGTTCTCGTGACAACCCGCAACGAAAGTGTAGCGGCTGTAGTCCCTTTTAATGTTGTTAAAGTATATCATCTAAACCAATTGTCGAATGAAGATTGTTGGTTGGTGTTTGCAAATCATGCATTTCCTCTCTCAGAAGATAGTGAAAATAGAGGAACTCTAGAAAAGATTGGAAAGGAGATTGTTAAAAAGTGTAATGGGTTGCCTTTGGCTGCACAGTCACTTGGAGGAATGTTGAGAAGAAAGCACGCTCTTAGGGATTGGATTAATGTACTTGAAAGTGACATTTGGAAACTTCCTGAAAGTCAGTGTAAAATTATTCCAGCCCTCGACTAATTTATAATCATCCCTCCCGTGTAAAAACGGTGTTTTGTATATTGCTCACTGTACCCCAAGGATTTCGAATTTCGAAAGGATGAACTGATCCTGCTGTGGATGGCTGAAGATCTTTTAAAAGCACAAAGAAAAGAAAAGACTTTAGAAGAAGTTGGTGAGGAGTATTTTGATGATTTGGTTTCAAGATCGTTTTTTCAATGTTCAAGTCTTCGGCCTTCGAGTAATTATTTTATAATGCATGACCTCATGCATGATCTAGCAACATTCCTTGGCGGAGAATTCTATTTCAGAGCAAATGAACTTGGAAAAGAAACCAAAATTGATAGAAAGACTCGTCATTTGTCTATTGAAAGATTCAGTGATCCAGTCTCCGATATTGAAGTTTTTGAGAGAGCCAACTTTTCCAAGACCTTCTTGCTAACATTATAAAGATTCTCCATTCACAACAAAAGGCTGCTACTATTATAGTGTCTGATGTTTAAGACTTGAG